CACACCCAATAAAGTAGCACTCAAATACATAAAAAACTCCTGGAGGATATAAAGGGAGATATTGACAGCAATACAATCATAGTAGGAGACTTTTTCACCCACTATCACCATTAGACAATTCATCTACACAAAAAATCAGCAAAGAAAAATCAGTCCTAAAAGACTCACTAGACCAGGTGGAATTAATTGACATCTTCAGAGCATTTCACCCCAAAGCCACAGAATATACATTCTTAAGTGCACATGTGTCATTTTCAAAGATGGGCCATGTGTTGAGTCATATGCAAAGTCTCTTCAAATTCAAGAAGAAAGAAATTATATCAAGCATCTTCTCAGATCACAGTGGCATAAAACTGGAAATCAACTACAATAAAAACAATCCCCCCCCCCAAAAAAAATCAAACATATGGACACGAAACAGCATGCTGCTAAACAATGACTGGGTTACCAGTGAGATCAAGAAAGAAATAAAAATATCACGGCAACAAATGACAATGAAAATACAACAATTCAAAATTAACGGGACACAGCGAAAGTATTCTTGAAAGAGAAGTTCATAGCTCTACAAGCCTACTGCGAAAAAGAAGAAACCATAAAAATTCTAGAGGAATCAACAGGCAGTAAAATCTCAGATATATGCTGAATGAACTTCTTCACTGCTACTGCTCCTAGGGCAACGGAAGCTAAAGAGAAAATAAACAAATGGGACTACATCAAAATAAAATGCTTTTGCACAGCAAAAGAAACCATCAACAAAACAACAAGAAAGCCCACTATATGGGAGAACATGTTTGCAAATGTTATCACTGATAAAGGTTTAATCTCCAAGATCTACAGGCAGATTATAAAACTTAATAAAAGTAAGATAAATGATCCAATAAAAAAATAGCAATGCACCTAAATAGATACTATTCGAAAGAAGACAGAAGGAAGGCCAAGAGAAAAATGAAAACATGCTCAAAGTCACTAATTACTCGGAAGATTCAAATCAAAACAACAATGAGGTACCATTTCCCTCCTGTCAGAATGGCTATCATCAACAAATCAACAAAGGACAAGTGTTGGTGAGGATGCTGAAAAAAGGAACCTTCGTGCACTGCTGTTTAGGAATGCAGACTGGTGAAGCCACTGTGGAGAACAGTATGGAATTTTCTCAAAAAACTAAAAATGGAACTTGTATTTGACCCAGTAATCCCACTCCTAGGAATACATCCTCAGAAACTAGAAACACCAATCAGAAAGAATATACTCACCCCTATGTTCATAGCAGCAAAATTTAAAATACCTAAGATTTGAAACAGCCTAGGTGCCAGTCAGTAGATGATTGGATCAGAAAACTATGATACATCTACACAATGGAATACTATGCTGCCATAAAAAAGAAGGAATTCTTACCATTATCAGCAACCTGGATGGAACTGGAAAGCATTATGCTAAGTGAAATAAGCCAGTCAATGAAAGAAAAATACCATATGATCTCACTCATTTGTAGATAATAAAGAACATTATAAACTGATGAACAAAAAGATAGATACAGAAGCAGTAAAGACTGTCAAATTACAGTGGGAAGTTTAGGGAGAGTTGGGGGAGATAAGAGATCAACATAAGGATTTGTATGTATGCATGTAAGCATAACCAAAGAATACAAAAACACTGGAGTAAGGGTGTGTATGGGAGTGTGGGGGGGCAATGGTAAAATATGTACACATATAATACCTTAATTAAAAAAAAAAACATGGGGGAAAAAAAGAAAGAAAGAAAAAATTATTCTGCTTGAGGCATATTTTGTGTCATGCAGTGCCATTGTACAGTAGGGCCTGGGGCTGCTTGAAGGCAGGCAGATATGACTTTCAATTTCAATTGTGCTACTTACATTCTGTGTGATTCCTCATAAATGGAGATAAAAACCAAATACTTCTGAGTTTAAAATCTTGCAGCATCTTTTATCCATTGCTTTGGAATAAATTCCATAGTTTTTATATTATCCCACAAAGCTCTGGGTGGACTAGGCCTGTTTGACTTTGTTTTGTAACACTCTTCCCATTTCTGATAGCTCTCTAGACTCACTAGTGTTCTTTCTCTTCCTTAAATTCAATTTGTTCATTCCAAACTTATTGTCTTTGCATTTAAAATTCCTCCTTTCTCATACTCTTTTTTTTATGCTGCTCACTTTTGTTTGTTTGTTTATTTATTTATTTATTATTTATTTATTTATTATTTATTTTATTTTTTAAATTGATTATGGTCTCACATAATTGTCCTTATTCCCCCATTCCCATCCCAAACCCCTCCCTAGCTATGCCCCCCCAACCCCCGTTGTCCATGGCTACTGGTTAGGCCCATATGTATGCACATAAGTCCTTTGGTTGATCTCTTCCCCTTACCCCCATCCTCCCTTACTTTCCCTCTGAGGTTTGAGAGTCTGATAGCTGGTTTTCTTTCTCTGGATCTGTTTATGTTGTTCATTATTTACTCTAGATGTGTGAGATCATGTGATCCAAGAAATATGCTTGTAAGAAACTAAACTGCAACAAACCATAATGGTTATGCTGAGAGGCAAATGAATCAATCTGTAGTGAGTTCCTTTCTGGGCCAACAGTTCTTTTGAGTCCCAATTTCAATGTCAGATAGTTTCTTATGTGTACATGCCAGCCATGATATTTCAGATCTGGTTGGTGAACAAATGGTGGTAATGCAGGTCTGTCAGAAAACAACTCTGAGACCATCTGGAATCCTGTAACCGAGAGGAATAGACATAAGCGCTCCAGCCATGAAGACAGAAGAGACACAATTCATAGATGGAAGATGCTGACGACGCCTCAGCATACCAGCAGACAGCAGCTGCGGGTTGCTGAAGGATGCCCAGGACAAAACCAGAGACAGGCAGACCTGCTTTCTCATACTCTTAACATGACTGGCTTTGCCTTCTATTTTTCAGGCCTCAGCTTCAATATTCTCTCCTGATGAAGGCCTTTCCCAACCAAATTGTCTAATCTACTTCATGTTTATTTCTTCATTGTTTTCTTCACAGCTTTTCTTGCTACTTGTTATTTTATTTGCTTATGTGTTTAGTTATTTATTTTCCATTTCTGTTATATGTTTATGACTACAGGAGCTTTTCCAAATTGTTCACTGTTATGTATTTAGTACTCAAAATAGTGCCTTGCACATGTCAGATGTTAAATATCTGTTGGAAAGAAAGGACTAGATTAATCACTCCTAAGTCTCATCTATGAAAAGGCATAGTCATGCCTGAGTTTCTGTGAAGGACTTAGCACAGAGTGAGGATCAAATACCCAATAGTTTTCATTCTTCTGTACTCTTGTATTTTTGGTATGTACACTCATTGCTGAACTGACTTGTCCTGAGGTTTTCTGTTAGGACCAAGCACCTGAATTCTGATGGACTAGAAGCTGAAGGACATGGCCAGAGACAGGCCTCCTATCCTCTTCCCCTCTCACTCTCTATAGTGAGACCTCTCTGGACTGGGTCTCACTTACTTATACATTCTAAACAGTCTGGGCTTGCCTGGAGATTCCTGAACTGATGCCACTCCTAGCCAGTCTGAAGCATATATCTCACTCCTCAACATCTGCTTCTATCATTCTTAGTCATTCACCATGCCAGCGCAAACAAAGGTGACTTCACCAAAATGCAGTACTATAAGGAATAAAGTCATTATGTAGTAGACCCCAATTTTTACTTATGAATGAGAAAACTTAAGCCAAAGGAGAATAAGGGATTTACCCCCAGAAGCACTGATATTAGAATTGATTACTTATCCCAGATCCACTGTCAGGAGTTCATTTCCATTTTCTGCAAACATAGTACTGTGTTCTCAAGAATTCTTTACAGTAGGTGGAATGAATCTGAGGTTGGTGATACAGAGTAGGTATTAGTTTGAAGAACCATATTCAAATGCATACTTCAAGAAAACTGAGTCAAAATTTTCTTTATGTGGAGAATGCACAAAAGTTAAACTAAGGATGCATATAGAGCACAGGGGTCTTCAAACTACGGCCCGCGGGCCACATGCGGCCCGCAGAGGAGTCTGATCTGGCCCGCCAGGTTTTTTGGGCAGTGAGCGCAGCCGAGGTGTTACAGTTCGGCCGCCAGGACCTGCATATACACTGTCACTGCACAGCCGTTCTGACCCCTCTGCCTCTTTAAGAGCACAGTGCCTGCTGGGGCTCAGAGCGTGCGACATGCCGCTGCACAGGCACGTCTGTGCTGTGCTGCGCGGCAATGATGTAAAAAGGCGCCCGCTTCACCCCCAGGCAACGTGGTGTCTGTGTGCTGTGCCTGCCTGTCAGTAAGGTTCTCCTCCTCTCCCTCCACTGCCTTCACCAAAGGTCGGTCGAAAGTGCCATAGAAAGAAATTTTTGCCAGATGGGGGGTTTCTGCCTGATTGGGGGGTGGGGGCTTGGTGACTCATATGAAAATTCCCCTTTTGGTGGGGGGGGCGTTCGGTGCTGAAATCAAAATTCTGCCAGTTGGGGGGTGGGCGGTGGGGGGTGGTTGGGAGGTCAGGGCTTCGGTGCTGAATTGCCCATATGGAAAATTCTGCCAGTTTTGGGGGGAAGGTGCTCGGTGCTGATATGTGAAATCAAAATTCTGCCAGGTGGGAGGTGGGGGGAGGTTAGGGGTTCGGTGCTGAATTGCCCATATGGAAAATTCTGCCAGTTTTGGGGGGAAGGTGTTCGGTGCTGATATGACAAATCAAAATTCTGCCGGGTGGGGGGGGGACTTGGACCAAGTCTCTTTGTGGAAGAATTGAGACTGACAGCATGCCGCTCCAGCCAACAGCCTTTTTTTTCCCATGAGGCAACCCTGATCGCATCTTCCTACTAATATAGCCAGGCCCATTCCAAACCAGAAAGTCAACTCCAGTGTAAAAAGATGATTAAAGCCTTTTAAAGGGGTTTACATTAAAAATTTTATATGCATTTTGCATTTCCTTTTCAGTGTTCACATGCTGATTCTGAACATATTAATTTGGCCGTTATATAGGGAGATATAACCGAACCCCATCAGGGACTGAGCTGGTCTGCTTAGAAAAGCCTGCAAGAGGTAAGTGTCCACATCGGGGGCAGAGACCTACTAATGGGAGTTCATACACTGTGTGTGTGTGTATATATATATACACACACACATATTAGTATTTTACTAATAGCAATTTGGAATCCCTAGGAAACAATGATGTCAAGAAAAAGAAAAATTGACTCCGAGTGTAGGATATTCAAAGAACAGTGGACTTATGATTACTTTTTCACGCGGTACAAAGAAAAAGCTGTGTGTCTGATATGCCAGAATATAGTTGCTGTGTTCAAAGAATACAATTTGCGACGCCACTATCAAACTCAACATAAAGATAAATATGATTGTTTGGTCGGAGAAGTGAGAAAAGATAAAATATTAAAACTGAAACATACACTGACAACTCAGCAAAATACTTCTGTGAAGCAGAAGCAGCTAAATATTTCATCACTGCAGGCAAGTTTTCAAGTTGCCAAGCTAATAGCGTGCAATGGCAGACCATTTGTGGAGGGAGAATTTGTTAAAGAATGCCTTCTTTCTGTTGCCAAAGAGATGTGTCCAGAGAAGGCCAATTTATTTAGTACAGTGAGTCTTTCAGGAGCTACAATGACACGAAGGATTGAAGAAATGGGAGACAATTTGCAGCACCATTTGCAAAACTCTGCAAAAAAACTTTGCTATTTTTCCTTGGCACTCGACGAAAGCAATGATGTTCGTGATTCTGCCCAACTTCTCATTTTTATGCGTGGGACAAATGAGTATTTTGAAGTCACAGAAGAGCTTGCTGCACTGCAAAGTATCAAAGGTACAACCACAGGAGTGGATATATATGAAAAGGTTTGCCAAACTGTGAATGGTGGAGCTGGACTGGGCTAAACTAGCCAGTGTGACAACTGATGGTGCTCCTAGCATGGTGGGGTCTAAGAGAGGAGTAATTGCTCACATTAAACAAGAGATGGACAAACATAACCATCCTCATCCAATTGCTATACACTGCCTCATCCACTAACAAGCGCTGTGTTTTAAATCACTGAAGTGGGACTCTGTTATGAAAATTGTGGTATCTTGTGTTAATTTCATTAGAGTTCATGCACTAAACCACAGACAATTTCAGGAATTTCTGTCTGAGCTAAATGTTGCCCATGAGGATGTTCTGTACCACACAGAAGTCCGTTGGCTGAGTAGAGGGAGAGTTTTGAAATGTTTCTATGACTTACTTCCGCAGATTATAGCTTTTCTACTTTCAAAAAACAAAGAAGTACCAGAGCTCAATGATGCAGAATGGAAATGGCACCTTGCCTTTCTGACAGATATAACAGAGCTACTCAACAGTTTCAATCTGCAACTTCAAGGAAAGGGGAAGCTCATCTGTGATATGGCATCGCATGTGAAAGCATTTGAAGTAAAATTAGGCCTTCTCATCAAACAAGTAAAGGAGGAAAACTTCAGCCATCTCCCAACAATTCAAAGCCTGTCAGCGGACAAACCATTGGTTGCATTCCCAAAGAAAACATGTGTGGATTCACTGGAATTGTTGCAAAAGGAGTTTCAATTTAGATTCAAAGAGCTTCATCTCCATGAACAGGACATACAGCTTTTTCGTAACCCATTTTCTGTTGAGATTGAAAATGTCCTTACAATTTACCAAATGGAACTGGCTGAACTGCAGAATTGTGACTCTCTGAAAGACGCATTCAAGTCAAGTAGCCTTCTGAATTTCTATGCATCTCTCCCCTCTGAGACATATCCAAATATCAGGAACCATGCACTCAAAATGGTAGCCATCTTTGGTAGCACTTATGTCTGTGAACAGAATTTTTCAAGAATGAAACATCTGAAATCTCCAACCAGATCAAGATTAACTGATGCCCACTTGCATCACTTGTTACAACTAGCAGTGACAAATATGGAACCGGACATTGACCATCTCATTAGCCAAAAGCAGTTCCCATTGAAATACTGGTAAGTGATCTGTTTATTTATAAATGTTCTTCATTTTATTTATATTGTATTTGTTACCTTTTTGCGAAATAAGATGTGTGCAGTGTGGGTAGGAATTAGTAGTTCATATAGTCCGGCCCTCCAGCTCTCTGAGGGACCGTGATCTGGCCCCCACTTTAAAAAGTTTGAGGACCCCTGAATAGAGTATGGAGGTTAAATTTTTTTGAGATTCATGCCAATTCAACTTTCCTCTGTACATCTAATAGCTACACTGAACATCATATTTTTAAATTTTCTTTTCAATTATAATTTACATTTAACATTATTTTTATGAGTTTCATGTGTACAGTATAGTGATTAGACAATCATATGCTTTTCAAAGTGATCCCCCAAATATTTCCAATACCCACCTAGCACCGTACATACTCATAATATTATTGACTACTAGTGACCCAGTGCACAACATTCATGCACATTAAAAGGGAATTAATTAGAGGAAATATTTTAATATTGCTATTTTCCCTTTCTCTATAATAGTCTAGTGACCTGTGGCGGGAATATTCCCATAAGACTCCTGGCGGGCTTCCCTCCCACCACTGCTACCTCTCCTGCTCCCCCACCTCTCTCAGTGCAGCGGACTGCCACCACAGCCACCATCTCTACAGCTGCGTTCACTGCCACCACCACTGTGTGCCTCACCCCGCACACCTGACTCACTGGCCCACCGCCACCTCTGCCTTTGTGGCTACGCTGTGACCACCGCCACTGTGCGCCCTGACCAGCCATGCCCACTGCCCCAACCTCTGGGACTGTGTGCGCCGCTGCTGCCTGCCCCACCTCACCCACCCGACCCACTGTGCCTGCCACCCCCAGCTGCCTTTCGCTGCTGCAGTCTCGGTAGCCACACACCACTGTGTGCCTCGCCCTGCCCCACCCCACATGCACTGCCAGTGCTTTCCCTCCAGCAGCTACAGCTGCCTTGCTTTCCACTTTCCCTCCTTCTTCCTTCTATGCTGTCTTCTGTCTTCACTCCTCCCTCCTTCTGCATATAAAAATTAAGCACAATCTTTGTTAGGATAATTTGTATAGTCACTCTGATTGGCTGGTGGGCTTGGCTGGTGAGTGTAGCAGAGTGATGGTTAATTTGCATATTACTCTATTATTAGGTAGGATATGCCAGAGATGAAAGAAAATTAGTAAAATATATATGAAAATATTCCTCCTGTCAGAGTATGGAGTGTGTCATGGGAACCAGAGTCAAGTCCCTGCCCACCCACATGCACCTCGATATCATGCAAGACCCAGTCCTGGCCAGCCCCACCACCATTGGGTTAAATCCAGACCCAGCCAACCCAATCCCTGTCAAGCCCTTTCAGGTTGGGGTTAGTCCTTAGTTCCCCCAGCCTGGTGCCAGGGTGGAGTGCATGGCTTGAGGTATTCCCAGTATGACCAGGCCAGGGGGCATGCCTTGAGGTCCACATAAAGCCCGTCATGATCAGGGGGCATGGCCTCAGGGCCCCTAGCCTGGGGCCATAGGGAGGCATAGCCTCAGGTCCTCTGGCCTGGCACTGGGGCAGGGGTTGTGGCCTGATTGCCCAGTGCCAAGTAGCCTCAGGCCCCTGCTGATTGCTCATTAAGGTTTATTATGAGAACTTGTCTTCTGCTGTGGGTGCAGCCATCTTGTGTTAAAGAATTCCTTCCTCTGTTATGGGAGAAACCATCTTGTTATGGTGTGATGGTCAATTTGCATATTCCCTCTTTATTAGATAGGATAGTCCCTATACTGTACTTTATGTTCCCATAACTATTTTTTAACTACCAACTTGTACATCTTTCTTTTAACATTCCATTATTATTTTTCTTTAATTCTTTATTGTTTAAAGCATTACATATGTCTTCTTTTCCCCCTATTTACCTTTCCCCAGAACTCTCACCCTGAAGAAAATGCTCTCACCCCCTTTCTGTCTGTGACCATTGGTTATGCTTATATGCATGCATATAAATCCTTTGGTTGATCTCTTACCTGCCTTCATCACCGCGTCCCCCTCTTCTCCTCCTCCGCTCCCCCCAGAAACCTCTGCTACCTTCTTATGAGGTTTGATGGTTTGTTTGATGCTTCTATGTCTCTGGATCTATTTTTGTTTATAACTTTATATTGTTCATTATATTCCACAAATGAGTGAGATCATGAAATATTTATCTTTCTATGACTGATTTATTTTACTTAGCATAATCATCTCCAGGTCCAGCCATGCTGTTGTGAATGGTGAGTTTCTTTGTTTTTTCACAGCAGCGTAGAATTTCATTATATAGATGTACCCCTGTTTTTTTTTAATCCATTCATGTGCTGTTGGGCAGGTAGGCTGTTTCAAAATCTTAGCTATTGTAAATTTTGCAGCTATGAACATAAGGGTTCATATATCCTTCTTATTGGTGTTTCTGTTTTTTGGGGGGATATATTCCTATAAGTGGAATTACTGGGTCATACAGAAGTTCCATTTTTAATGTTTTGAGGAAACTCCATTCTGTTTTCCATAATGGCTGCACCAGTTGGCACTCCCACAACAATGCACAAGGGTTTCTTATTCTACACATCCTCACCAGCACTTGTCATTTGCTGATTTGTTCATAATATCATACTGACAGGTGTGAGATGGTACCTCATTGTCATTTTGATTTGCATCTCCTGGATGATTAGTGACTTTGAGCATGTTTGCATATATTTCTTGGCTTTCTGTAAATACACTTTAAAAAGGTGTCTATATAGGTCCTTTGACCATTTTTTGACTGGATTGTTTCTCTTCCTTTTGTTAACTTGTATGAGGATGTCACATTGACAAATACATTCTAACATGCAGAGGGCTCTATTGTTATTTTGTTGATGGATTCTTTTGCTGTGCAGAAGCTTTTTATTTTGATGTAGTCCCATTTGTTTATTTTCTCCTTAATTTCCATTGTACTAGGAGCTGTATTGGTAATGGTATTGTTATGACATATGTCTGATATTTTGCTGCCTGTGTATCCTTCTAAGATTTTTTAAATTTCCTGTCATATAAGTCCCTTATACTTTTTGAGCTTATTTTTGTGTATTGTGTAAGTACATGGTAAAGTTTCATTTTTTTTTCATGTAGTAGTATCTGTCCAATTTCCCAAACACCATTTATTAAAGAGACTATCTTGACTCCACTGTATGTTATTGCCTCCTTTAACAAATATTAATTGAGCATAATGGCATGGGTTGATTTCTGGGTTCTCTGTTCTCTTTCATTGGTCTATATGTCTGTTCTTGTGCCAGTACCTCACAGTTTTGAGAACAGTGGCTTTGTAGTATAGCTTGATATTTGGTATTGTGATCCCTCCAACTTTTTTCTTCTTTCTCAAGATTGCTTCGGCTATTCGGGGTCTTATTTATTCCATTTGAATTTATGGAGAGTTTGTTCTAGGTTTGTGAAATATGCAGTTGTGATTTTAAAAGAGATTTCATTGGATCTATACATTGTTTTGGGTAGTGTGGACATTTTAATGATGTTGATTCTTCTAATCCATAAATCTGGTATATTCTTTCATTTGTTTATGTCTTTATATCTTTTTCAGTGTCCTGTAGTTTTCCAAGTACAGGTCTTTTACTTTCTTAGTTAAGTTAATTCCTAGGTAACTTAAGTTTTTGTTGCAATGGTAAATGGGATTTTTTTTAGTTTCTCTTTCTGTGAATTCATTAGTGGTGTATAAAAAAAGCCATAAATTTGTGGGTGTTAATTTTGTATCCTGCTATATTCCCTAATTCATTTATTAAATCTAATAGTTTTTTATTAAGTCTTTCAGGTATTTTATATACAATATCATGTAATCTATAAATAATGACAGTTTTACTTTTTTATTTTTCCAATTTATATGCCTTTTATTTCTTCTTGTCTGATTGTTATGGCTGGCACTTC